TACATTGAGACAAAAATCTCCATTGTTAACATTTTAACACCTTACACATTCAGTTGTATTGGTGTATCAGATTTACTCAGCCATTTCCCTGTTGGCATTCAGGCTTCTTTGAAGTCTTCACTATAGTTCTACCATAAACATCTTTATACAAACAGGCTTTTCCCCTTTTGAATTATTTCCTACATCTGGGGTTACTGGGCCAAAGGGTATGGATATTTTTATGGTTCTGAATATGTACTACCAAAAGAATGTTAGCACTACTGGCAATAACTGAGTTTAACATTTCCTTAAGGCCATACTAGGTCCAATTCAACATTTTAAAAATTGGTAACATATATTAAGTGGTACTTTATAATTACTTTTTTTTCCCTCTGAATTGGAATAGCAATCTCAACATTTTTTTTTAGGCCAAACACAACTCTTAATTTGCATTCCGACTGTAGGGAAAGAACTCAGCAGCACATGTAGATATAAAGTCACATCAAAGAAGAGAATAAACAGTGTTAAAGTAACCAAATTAGGCCTTAGTTGGAGTCCACTCATGTTAAGCCCCATGTTAGCAAACCAAAACTTAATTTTCTCTGTTAGGCTCTCCTAGGAAATGAAGGCCTAGCTCAACCAGTCAGCACTTGTCTGCACAAGACAAGTTACCTAACCCAGCTCCAAACTTCCCTTTGCTCCAGTCAGCAAATGCCCAGTATAACTTCCCTGCTCCTCCTCATTTTGGTCTATAAAACCCTCCTGAATTGAACAAGTCTTTGGAGCTCCTTTCTGTCTGCTATACTGGATATTGCTCAATCCATGAATCACTGAATAAGCCAATACGATCCTTAAAATCACCTCAGTTGAATTTTGTTCTTTAGCAACAGCAAGTCTAAAAATTAATTCCAAGAAGGGCAAATGTCTGCTCCTCTGAATCAGAGTGGTCTCTCTGGGAAGGCTAGAGAACATTGAGCAAGCATTGGTTCAACATCTCTCTGATATAGCTTCCTGAAACTAAAGGAAGGCTAAAGAAAGTGCATGGTCTCCAATAAGTTACTTTTCCTTTAAATCCACATATATCAATCTAGAAACCATACCTTTTCCTGGGATTTTTGGTTCAGATTCCAAACGTCTCAAAAATAATTCCTCATACCAAAGGATCTGCTAAACAGAAAAGAAGCAGATAAAAAAATCATATATGAAGCAAAAATTAAAACACAGGAAACATAACAAATTAATATCATAGTAATATGAAAAAAAATCAAATTGAAAATGAAGTTTCCACAAATAACTGCACTTGTTATTTCTAAGATTATAGTACTAAATGAGGACAGATCGCTCTGATTTGTTCATTTTCCTCTGGAAAAATGTCTAAATAAGAGTGGAAGAACATTAAAAATAAGTTATTAAAGGTGTGAAAGTGAGAGATTAAAAGTTCTTATTCCCAAAGCAACTGCACAAGACACATTAGCACTACATAGGCCACTCTTTAGATAGGAATCTGTTTCTTGCCACTTACTAATTCCTTTGAAAACTCAAGGTAAATACACTAATAAAATCACAACTAAACTACACACAATTTGAGACCAACATGTCATAGTTTCCTAGGTAATAGCAAATATATTTGCCACAGATAACTGCAATAATAGCTTTTTACGTATAATATCCATATTGTACAGTCCAGTGAAAACGGCCTTCCCCTCCCATAAGATGTGGTTAAAAGTGTGCTGTCTGGGATGTAACTTGAATAATGTTTTTTGGTTTTGTTTTTGTTTTGTTTTTTATTTTTTCACAAAATGTTACTATTAGAATTTTTTTTAAAGAAGTGATTCCCTAAATCTCCAGGAAAGACCAAAGACTTTATGAACAAAAGAATCACAGTTCAAAGAGAAACTCATTCACTAAATGAAAGGTAGACAACACTAAGACAAAAGAAGAAGTTGAGACATCAGTCCTGGACGAGGATCAGAAGATTTTGGCCACTCTTTTGTGGAAGTTCTTGGATTTTGCCAGATAAACAGACCAGAATTTGAAAGAGAATAAAATGGAACCTTCTTAAGAGTAGGGACCTAGACCTGGGCCTAATGCCTAGTGGTATTCAATAAATACGTGTTAAATGACTGAATACAATTCTTGAAGAAAAAGCCTGAATCTCTGAAAGTCCAGAGAGTATATTCTAGAACCAAAGGACTTCTGTAAGACCTGACCCCCAAGATGAACAAAATTAAGCTCTATATTACTCTTTTTACCTGCCCTACTGTATCTATTCTATGCCTTCTGAATCCTCATATATAAAAGGAATTTCTGTTCACTCTGTAACCTGACTGAAGAGTGCATAGCTGCTTGACTTATCAAGTTGTCAGACACAGGCCAAAAGACGGGGAACTTTAAAATGTTAAGCTCCACAGAGTTGGCAGTAAAAGGCTGATGTTCTCTGTGCTACTATATATAATCGTAAAGCTTTTTGTAAAAAATTTATAGGCCATTATTTATAAGAAATACTACTGAGAGCCAAAGCAAAATTTCAAGAATAAAAATGTTGTCATTAGAGCAAAGCAAAGAGGCCCATCGGGTACTATTTTTGGCTTCCCATGGAGACATTTGTTTCTCATTATATATATAATATTAAATACTTTCCTCTGGGTCTTAAAAGGTTTTTAAGAAAGGAAATAAACCAGATTAATTTTCTTTCTAATTTGTAATATCCAAAGGCATATTTTCTAGTTTCTATAGTCCTGATTGCAAAAAACAGGAAACAGATCTTAAAATAAGTCTTTAAATGATGTCTGGGTGGCTCAGTCATTTAAGCCTCTGCCTTCAGCTCAGATCATGATCCCAGGGTCCTGGGATGGAGCCCAGAGCAGGGAGCCTGCTTCTCCCTCTCCCTCTGCCTGCCACTCCCCCTGCTTGAGTGCTCTCTTTGTCAATTAAAAAAATAAAAATCTCTTAAAAAAAATAAATAAAATAATTCTCTAAGTTTCTATTTTAATTCCCTCTCTGGGCCTGAAGACATTTTAATAGGAGATTCCAAATAACTCATTCTTCTCCATACATAGGCATATTAATTTTCCTTTGACAAATAGCCTGATATTTTATCTATACAATAGTCTATAATTTTCTCAAAGAAGAGGTAAAAGATATACAAAGTTTTTTGTTGTTTTTTTTTTTTTTTTAATACCCTCCAACTTCCCTTCAACAAAATGGGTAGGGTGGTTTAATGTGTGTTTTCTAACACCATCAAGCAGTTAACTCAGTTCTGACGCTATCTACCTGGAGCTAAGATCACAGATCTCACACCTTAAGAACTCAGTACCACAGACTAACCTCCTTTTGATGCCAATTGCAGGTCCAGGTTGTTACCTGTGCTTCTGACCAACTGGCTCTAAATTGGAGGTTTCCATGACCCCATCCTGGGTTCAGTGAACTTGCTGGAACAGCTCACAGAAACTTTTACTAGTCTATATATTATAAACGATAATATAAAGGACACAGATGAACAGCCAGATGTAGAGGTACATAGGACAAGATGTGTTGGAAGGGGCACTAAGTTTCCATGTTCTGTGTGAACCACTCAGCTTACATGTTCATGAGTTCACTAACCCAGAAGTTCTAAGAACCTCTGTCCTTTTGAGCTTCCAGTGGGGCTTCATTACATAGACATGATTGATTAAATCATTGACCATCCTTGATTGATTCAACTTCCAAAACCTCTCTACCCTCCTGCAGTTCAGGGGGTGGGACTAAAAATCCTAACCCGGTAGTCACCAGGATTATTCTCCCAGCAGTTATCCCCCATCCTTAGTTAACTAGAGGCTTTCCAAACATTTCCTTATTAGCATAAGAAAAGACGTTTATCATTCTCCTCCAGTAGGAAATTCCAAGGTTTTAGGAGCTCTGTTCCAACAGGATGAAGACCAAATATATGGTTGACCCTTGAACAACACAGGTTTGAACTGTGCAGGTCCACTAATGCTTGGATTTTTCATAGTACTATTAAGTATTTTCTTTCTCTTTCCTGTGATTTCTTTTTTAGTAGCATATTCTTTTCTCTAGTGTAGTTTATTTTAAGAATACAGTATATGATACCTATAACACACAAAATATATTAATCAATTATATATATGTATCGGTAAGACTTCTTTCCAGTCAACACTAGGCTAACAGTAATTCTTTGAGGAGTCAAAAGTTATACATGGGTTTTTGATTGTGCAGGTCAGTGTCCCTAACCCCTACACCTTCAAGAGTCAACTGTACATTTCTTATAAATCACAGTATCACAGGTAGTAAGGAAAAGACTAAAGAATTAGTTGTATCCCCCTTACCATCCACTGAGAGAGAAAGACCTATCCCTGCCCATTCACAGAAATATACACAAAGGCAGATACACTACCAAATACTCCCAAGGCTCCAACAACCAACACACATCGAAGAAACACCTAACAGAGACAAAGACACAGACCTTCAGAGAGATACTAGACAGAAGACAAAAGGAACAAAAGAGAGAAATGTGTATTACTTGCGAAGGATGGACGGCTACTCAGGACAGGCATCCAGCAGCACACCCAGGCACAGCCCCTGTTCCAGGGAAGAACAGAGGTACCCTGCAGGGGTGTAACTGTGTATTACACACAACCCCAACACACATGCTCCCCTCCCTCCCTCACAAACACACTTTCTTACATACACACCTTATTTCTCGCACACACTGCTTTTCTAATACTTTTACACACACACTCTCACACATACAATCTCAAAATCTCTCAGTCTGTTATGTACCTAGTCACTCTCACACAATCCAACAGTCTCACACACACACACACACACACACACTATCTCATACACAGACACTTTCTTCACACACAATCTCTCACACACACGTACATACAGTCTCTTCATGTACATTCGCACACAGTCTCACAAACACGCGCGAACACACACAGTCGCTCTCAGTTCTCACACACGCCCCCGTTGGCTCCGCCCCCGACGTGGCCCCACCCCCGGGTGTGCTCCGCCCCGGGGGCCGGGGCGGGGCGAGCCAGTGACAGGAGAGGCCGGGCAGGGCTGGTACTTCTGGCACCCTGGCCAGCGGGGCGCGCTCCAGAGACTCCAGTCTGTGGCAGCGCGGCCGATCTCCGGACGGCCCTCGGGTGGCGACCGCTGCCTCGCGTTTCACGCTTGGCCTCCTCCGGCGGCCGTCCCGGAGGCGGGAGTTGGCGACGGGATGTGCTCGGCCGGGGAGCTGCTTGGTGGCGGCGGCGGTGGCGGCGGCGGCGGCAGCAGCGGTGGGGAGCGCGACGAGGACGGGGACGCGCTGGCGGAGCGGCCGGTGGCGGGGACAGAGCCGGATTCCGGAGCGAGCCCGCGCCGACGCGGGCAGCGTCCGCTGGAGGAGCGCGAGCAGGTGAGCGGGGAGGGGGCGGCGCGGCCCGGCCGGTTTCCCGAGCCCCACCCGGCGGCAGAGGGAAGTAGACGGGCGGGCGGCGCCTGTGCTCTCTGCTCGGCGTGGGGCGCTGGTCGCTGCGGCGTTCGGGGAAGCTGCCCCGAGGAGCGGTTAGACGGCGCGCTCAGGGCCGGGCTGCGGGGCCATGCGTGCGCGGTGGTGGGTGCCCTGGGATCGCGTGTCTGGCGGGGTCAGCACAGCCCTTCTCCTGCTGTGGGGCAGAGGAGGCTCAGGCCGGCACCCGGGGCTCTGTGGAAGTACCTCCATAACGGTCACTTGTCTAAAAGCCTTACATGTAAACATTTTTTTTTCCCCAACTTCAAGTCGATACCCCTGTGCTGTGTTTTAGGGGATAGTTGCTCCCTTCCTGCCCTCCATCTTGGCATTTCTGAACACACACCTAGCGCCTCTGAAAAGGTGTGGGTGTATTTCTCTAGATATGCAATCAATGTCTGAAGGCGTGTGTAGGAGCGAGTATTACAATAGATACCTTGACAGGGACTCTCCAAGAGTAGGTTCGTCACATGAACACAAAAGAGATCTAAACTTCATTTTAAAAGTGGAAAAGCAAGAAAATTGCTTTCTGTTAGTACCAAACGGAAAGAAGTATTAGTAAGGGAAAGGAGAAGTTGGGTAATTTTTGAAACCCTCTGAATTTCTTCTCACTACATGAAGTATCATAATAAGCATTACAACATATCAGTTGTCTTCAAGAGTAGGCAAGAAATTTAATAAAAGAAACTGAGTTATACGTAGGATGGATCTTCACCAGCAAAAACAGTAATTAGACTCTCGAAAATACCTGAGATCAGCCAATCTTCAGAATCACATTAAAGAGCAGGAATTCAAATGATTATCTGCCTTTGCTAAAGCCTGTAGTGTTGGGACAGGGAATTGATACCTATCTCCTTTAATTATTCTCCATCTGTCCTTTTTGTAACATCTCACAGACTCCAATATCATCACTAAATGTATTAATAGGTAAAGTATAACTTCTAGGATTTCAACATTTCATTCCGAAAACAGAAATACCATTGCACGGGACACACAAAATATGCCTTAGCATTAGTCTCACTCACCGCGTAGAAGTGTAATTTTTCATCCTTATGACAATATAAGAAATGGCATGGTGACTGAAGCAAATAATTGGTTGCCAGGAGATCTTCCTGATTCCCTTCCTAATGCTACCCTGCTCCCCAACTATACAAACTATACCATGACTCAGTAGCTAAAGGGCTTGGTTTCCTCTTGCTTTAGTTCAACTGGAAAAGTGAAGAAAACAGCAACAGGAACTCCCTGGGTGGTGGTGGTGGTGAGGGAGATACATTCGAACTAAGGTTCTCAAAGTAAATTTTCAAATGTTGTAAGGGAGCATGTAAAATATTATTTCGTGTACACTTCTGTGGATTTTACATCATCAATATCTCCAGTCTTACCAAAATTGCTTATGGTACAAAGAAAAAGAAAAAAAATGAAATATATATACTAGAAAACATACATCCCAGCACTTTGCATACCTACTTCTATCATTCCCTGTCATGGAAATTTTTATTCCTGTATTCTTTTAAAATGGTTGAATTTTTTTTTAATATATATATTTTTTAAGATTTTTATCTACTCATTTGACAGAGAGAGAGGGAACACAAGGAGAAGGAGTGGAGAGAGGAAAAAGCCGGCTTCCCGCTGAACAGGGAGCCTGATGAGGGGGTTGAGCCCAGGACGCTGGGACCATGGCCCAAGCCATGGGCAGACACCTAACAACTGAGCCACCCAGGTGCCCCAGAAAATGTTATTTTTTATTAATGATGTATTTTTGTACTGTAAGCCCACATACACAATAATTGAGAATTACACCTGAGATATGCATTTACCACAAATGAGCACCAAAGAACTTCGCAAGAAACCAAAAATGAGTGCTTGCTTCCACAGCGCATATACTAAAATTAGAAAGAAACCAAAAATGAACAAAAAATTGGGGCAGTGCAACCCCTTGTATAAGCAGCAAGCTTTTGTGCTAAATCATTCATTGATAATATTATCACTAAGGCTTGTTTTCTTTTTTTCTCAAGTCCTACAAATGAAACTTAAAATTTTTATGCACTCCCTTGCAATGATGGTAACTGTAGATATAAAAATGTTTGAGGAAGAAGTAAATGAATTCAGTGACTATAAAATATATCCTGAGGAGTTGTTTGATTTAGTTTTTCTTTAGGGGATGGTATGTGTTTGTTTGTTATTTTAAGAGCACACAGACTCCAAATTACAAGAGAATATTTTTGAAAACTTGTTTTGCAGACTGGTTTTTAAAATTTAAAGTGACTTTTTCCACAGAAACAATGATAGACACAGAAACAAAACCAACACTAATTAGCTGGAAATGAGGCAGAGTCCCTCTTCCTGATGTCGTTTCTGCTTAGCACACTCACTTGGTGTTCTACAGTCTTAGTTAGCCTCCCGGTTGTTGAGAGAGAACTGACGGCATTCGTGGGGGCAGCAGCAAGAGACAGCACAGACTCTCCTTTTTTTCTGGATCAAGGCTATGGTGGTGCTCTTGAATGCAGTAGCTCTAGAAGACACCTGGCTTTTGCTCCTGCAGCTTCCAGTGATTTTTTTCAGCCCCTAATTTTTTGTGTTAAATACCTTTCTATTTCTATTTCCTTCACTGAGTTTTGCCCTTACCTGATAACTTGATGAAGCAGGTTTCTTCCATTAGCTATTCCCCAGGCTAAGTAAGGGTCCCTCCACATGCAACCTTTCCTTCACTGATTTTTCTTTCCATTCCTGTCTGAAAGTTCTCATGCCCTTCCTTCAGCCAGGAAGTCTCTTGTATCAGCTTTGGCTGTACAAAACCTACCTTTATCTCATTGGTACGATACCAGCTCAGAATGTATCTATAGCTTGGTATTTATTTCATGTAATACTGAAATAGTAATATAGGTATTTTCTTAATAACTAAGATTGTCAGCATTGCTTTTTTTTTTTTCTTACAATTTGTTCTTAAATGCCACTCCATCTGAGAGAAAACGAAGGTTCCTTTGTCTCTCCTGGTAGGATGATGGACAAAGGAAGCCTAGTTAAATTCAAGTATCCTTGAGGACCTGAAAGGAAGACTTGGAAGAATAGAACAGGTCCTTTAGATGAAGGAACTGTGTCAAGTTTGAAGTAGGCATCAGACATCTCAGAGAGATAACCAAGGGAAAGAGACAAAATGCCCAAAGGATTGAAGGGAGAGGGTATAACTATCCCATGGGTATGTTGTTCATTGTATGTATGAGAGATGATTCAATGATATTCGTAACTGTGACCATTAGGTGGCTTTATATAAGAGAGTCTCTGATCTATTGCATAAGTAAAAGACTAAACATCTCTAGTCCTTTTATTATATGCCTACAGTGTGAATAGCATCTGCTTAGATGTGGCAGTTCACAACTTAAATAACCTAAGATGGCCCTTCGTACCTCCTAGAGCACAGAGATCCTATTATCCTCAGACTGACTTTAGAATCATTATCTTTAGCTCTAAGGTCATTATGGTTATTGAAGTAATATACTTTGGAAACTGTAGGAATAAAGAAAACTCTAGGGAAGGAAACGAAAGCATTTGAAATCCCACTCCAAGTAACATTTTATTAAAAAATACCAGACATTTAAAAAAATATATCTCATACAATGGTATTTCTACATTCATCTCTCTCTCTCTCATATATTACTATACTTGTATATATACACACATATATTTTAACATGTTTTAATGTAATACTGAATTTGCCTTCTTGTTTTAGCTACTTAGCATGTTGTTTCATTTTCCCATGTTATGAAAAATTATTTGTAAAAATTATTTTAAGGCTGCCTAATAATACATTTTCCTACTACTGTACATTAAGGTACAAACTTTCTTTTTAAATAATGCTATAAGGAAAATCTTTCCTTGAAAATCCTCACAGTTCTACCTTGCAATAGATTCCTAGAAACGAAAGAACTAGGTCAATGTATCAAACTCATTGAAGCCTCTTGGAACATTCTAAAGGATTGCTTTCAAGAAAGATCACACCAATGTACACTCCCAGCATTGGAGTGTGAGAGTGCTGATTGGAAACCATCCATGCCTCTAATGAATGGTATAATTTATAGATTAATCTTTGCCAATTTAGTGGGTCAAAATTATCTTGTGTTATAAGATATTGCTGGAGAGGTTTACTAAACCTTTCATATATTTATTGAGCATTTGCATTTCTTTTTAATCATGTTCTTTGAACTTTTTTGACACTAAAATGTTAATCTCTTACTTCACATTGATTATAAATATTTTCTGTGCTTGCTATTGACTTTATAATTTTGTTAATGATATTTTCAATTTAAAAATGCTTTAAATTTTTATTTGCTAAAGGAATTTATTTTAGTAGTTTCATTCACACATACCACACATATACACATGCATAATGTATATACATATCTATATCTGTTCAGAGCATTCTTTCTAACTCTACAATCAGTTAAATATCCAGTATTTTCTTGTGTGTGTGTGTATTTATGGTTTTATTATTATTTTTTAAATTCTGTATGTTTTGTCTCTTTAGAATATCTTTATGTATTGGGTGGAGTTATGGAGCTAATCTGTTTTTTTCTCTGCCAATGATTGGATAATCCACTTTCTCCCTGGCTTATACAATCCTTTATAATAGTTATAAATAGTAAAATCTATATTAAGCTTTTACATTTTTGTTGGTATTGTGAACGGGATTTTTTTCCCCACAAATCATCCTTTTGCTGCTGGTTTCTAGCTACTGGCTTTTATATATTTAGTTTTTAACTAGTTACCTTTCTGAATTCTTTTATTAATTCTAATGCTAATAAATAACAGTATCTCTTAGACTTGATTCCTTTGCATCTTCTAGATATATAATCATCCAATCTATAGATAAGGTTGATTTTGCTTCCTTTCAAATGCTAATGCTTCATTTC